AAAGAATCGGGTTTGATGTTTTTGGAACCCGGGCGGTACGAGAGAGTAAAATCAAAACAACCGAAAAAAAGTGCCCACCGAGCCTGCCTGGAATTTAATCTCTTGGCTGTTCTAATATACTCTAAGTTCTTGTGATCGGTCCAGACGATAAAGGGAACCCCTGATCCCTCTAACCAGTGGCGCCATTCCTCCAAGGCTAACTTGACTGCCAACAACTCTCTGTTACCAATGTCGTAATTGCGTTCGGCTGGGGATAAACGTTGAGAGAAAAACGCGCAGGGATGCATCTTGTCGTCTACAGAAGAGCGTTGGGACAACACTGCACCTACTCCCACCTCTGACGCGTCGACCTCCACCACGAACTGACGTGATGGATCAGGGGCGATGAGGATGGGGGCTGAAACAAAGCGGCCTTTCAGTTTGTTGAACACAGCTTCCGCTGTGTCCGACCACCTGAACGTCGTTCGGGGGGAGGTCAAGGCAGTCAGAGGCGTGACTAGTTGGCTGAAGTTGCGAATAAAACGCCGGTAGAAATTGGCGAACCCCAGAAACCTCTGTAGGGCCTTACGGGAATCTGGACTTGGCCATTCTACCACAGCCTTAATCTTCTCAGGGTCCATTCGCACTCCTTCAGACGAAATGATGTACCCGAGGAAAGGAACAGACTGTGCATGAAAATCGCATTTCTCCGCCTTGACAAAAAGCCCATTCTCTAGCAACCTCTGAAGCACTCGTCGGACGTGTTGCACATGTTCCTGGAGAGAAGAAGAAAAAATCAATATGTCGTCCAGGTGAACATATATGAATTGGTCTATCATATCTCGCAACACGTCATTGACCAGTGCCTGGAAGACTGCTGGGGAGTTGGACAGCCCAAACGGCATGACCAAGTATTCAAAGTGCCCCCTGGGGGTATTAAAAGCAGTCTTCCACTCATCCCCCTCCCTAATGCGAACCAAATGATAAGCGTTATGCAAGTCCAATTTTGTGAAGATGGACGCTCCCTGTAACCTCTCGAAGGCTGAAGACATCAACGGCAAAGGATAAGTATTCTTTACCGTGATGTTGTTCAACCCTCGGTAATCAATACAAGGTCGCAGAGATCCGTCCTTCTTCCCCACAAAAAAGAACCCCGCCCCCGCTGGAGAAGAGGAAGGCCGGATGAACTTGGTTGCTAGAGAATCAGAAATATATTTCTCCATAGCCTCCCTCTCTGGAACAGAAAGTGAATATAATTTGCCCTTAGGCGGAGACTTACCTGGCAATAAATCTATAGCACAATCATAGGGACGATGCGGAGGAAGAGAAGCAGCCCTAGACTTACTGAACACCTCCTTCAGGTCCAGATACTCCGCGGGCACGTTAGATAAATCCCCTACTTCCTCCTGAAACACAGACACAGGTACAGACGGACAAGCAGACATGAGACAAGACTTATGACATTCCTTGCTACACTCCAGCACAGACTTCTGTTGCCAGTCTACTCGAGGGTTGTGACGGATGAGCCAAGGATGTCCAAGGACGACGGGTGCCAGTGGTGAATCCAGGATGTAAAATGACAAAGTCTCAGAGTGGTTACCGGAAGTGATGAGGGTGATGTCTTCGGTGGAAAAGGATATGGTGGGAAGTTCCTGACCGTTAAGTGCGTGAACAGCGATGTTGTGTGTGAGGGGTTTGAGAGGAATCTGAAACTTGAGTGCAAAACTGTAGTCCATAAAATTACCCTCAGCCCCGGAATCCAAAAGTGCAAGACAGTTGTGCTGGTGAATTGACCATCTGAGTCTTACCGGGAGGAGCGTGGAGGTAGATGTTAACGTAGATGAGGTCTTCCTGGCGGAGATCCCACCCGATAGTAGCCACGTGTTTACTATCGGGCTGGGCCCTTTTACTGGACAGTTGTATGCATAGTGTTCTGATCCTCCGCAGTAGAGACAAAGGCCCTGGGACCTCCGCCTTTCCCTCTCCTCCCGGGAAAGCCGAGCTCGACCAACCTGCATGGGCTCGTGATCGTAGACAGGGCTGACCACGTCCCTGCCGCTGGATCGGGAACTGTCGCCTCCTCCTGGTGTGCGGGTGGACGCGGCTCGACGCTCGACCCGTGACAATCGAGCGTCCACCCGCAATGCTAGGTCGATCAGTCCCATCAAGGTGGTAGGAAGATCCAGGGCGTAGATTTCCCTCTGGACGTGGTCAGCCAACCCATGCAGGAACATGTCCCACTGCGCCTCCTCGTTCCATCTGCACTCCGCCGCCAAGGTTCGAAACTCAATCGAGTAATCAGAAACTGATCTTTCACCATGCTTCAATTCCGCAAGCGCTCTAGCTGCTTCTCTCCCGGAGACGGCACGATCGAAGACTTCCTTAAGGGCGACGGAGAGAGATTGGAACGAGTTGCAGCATGAGTCTTGATTCTCCCACACCGCCGTTCCCCAAAGCGCCGCTCTCCCAGTCAGCAAAATCAGGACAAAAGCCACCTTGGCTTATTCAGTATTGAATGTACGTGGTTGGAGTGCAAAATGCATCGAGCAACGGGTCAAGAAAGATCTGCAGAGTGATGGTTCACCTGAATAGGCTTCGGGAACAGGTAGGCGTGGTTCTGACTGGGAGAGGTTCTCAGGTGGTGTGGGAGGAACGGCTGGTGTGGGCGCGCGCAGCGGGAACACGTAGGCGTTGGATCTGCTGGGTGAGCTCGGACACCTGCGCCACCAGAGCTTGTACTGCCCCTCCTGTGTCGCTGATGTCCTTCTCCTGCGAATTCATTCTTCGTATACTGTTGTGGACAAATTCCTCCAAGGACGATGAAGCTCCACTCGCTGCTTCCATAGCTGGTCAGATCGTTCTGTCACGTTCGTATTAAGGACAGGAAGCAATAGCGAGTCAACAAGTTTAATGTAGAATATTGGACAGTACAAGTAGATGGTGATCAGGTGACGCAGGGACTCAGACGGTCAGAGCTGGTGCAGACAAACAGTGCAGCGGTGACGATGGTGAGACAAGCAATCCAGTAGACGAACACGACGACGACGACGATTAACCGGAACACCAGGCAGGGAGACAGAACTGGAACCAACAAGACACACATCCAACAACAACGATCTGACAAGGAAGATGAAACAGCAGTGAGTATATATAGAGAGGTGAAATGGACTGCAGCTGGTGATGATAATGATGATCAGCTGGAGTGGATTTGGTAATGACATACATTCACGCCCACTACACACGTGCATTCACACAACAACATAAACACGAGACTAAAAGGAAGTAGAGAATACATCTACCGTGACAAGGATGGCGCGCGCGCGCTCATCATGCTACGACGTAAGAGCGTCGGGGCAGAGCCAGCTTTGCGCGAGCGCCATCAGCCAATGCATTGGCGTGATTCTATAGGGCTTCAGGCAATCGGCACATCCAGAGGATATCCCACTGCGCTTTCCGCAGCGTCTCGTTCCCTATTCAGAGAACATAGGTTACGCAAGTAACCAGAGACGTTTTTTAGACCTTCAGATCTTTGACCAAAAAAGAACAATACTTTACTGTAGCTCTTTAATAGTCTTTAAAATAAGATTTATTACTGGAATAAGCTGAAACTAATGGCAGGAATTTGATTTTATGGTCTGAAATGAAAACTTATGTTTTGAGAGTGTTTCTTGAGATATTCTTGGCCAGGCCTAATCCTAAAAGTTTTGCTCAACTTCATGTGTCATGCTTTGGTTGCAGCAAGGTGGACTAAATGTGCAGGATTTAATTGCAGCAGTCCTTCTTTATTTACAACTTAAAGGAAACAAAATACTCAGTAATTTGTACTATAAACACTCGAACAGAACAACCAAATATACATCAACGAGAATGGACAAATACTCAAGCAAAACCAAGGCTATAAATACACAAGGGGCTGATTAAGGAAACATAGAACAGATGTGAACTAATAAGTAGGCCTATAGTCAAGGCAACAATACAAGGAAAACAGACAGGCAGGCAGGCAAGAAAAAAAAAAAAACTAAAACACAGACAAAGTAAACATAACCCTGACAACATGCATGTTTCTGAAGGATTATGAAGTTATGCTATAGGCCTAATATGCATAATTTCCCAGAATCTCTAAAGTACTTCATTGGTGGCTGTTTTCTTGCTGTAGTCTCCACCGCACTTCAGATTCTATTAAAAATATGGGTTGCATTGAGACAGATTGCTTTGAAGCATGTCTTGGATGTCAGATCAAAAGAACGCCCAGAACACATTTGGATTGTCTTGATGAACAATGTTTTTTTTTTCCGGAAGCTAATCGCATCACTGACGATTTTGCAAGCAGTGGGGTGTGTCTGTCTGGTGATTGAAATGCCTTGAGGAAATTAAACGATCTGTTATATTCAAATTTTTTGTTCACTCTAAAAATAACTTTTTAACTGAAAAAAAAAACCCAGTAGTCCGAAAATGTACAAGATTTCTCAAATGTTTGATTCAAAGAACTGACAAGAAAAGTGACAGAATCCAACGTGACAGTTTGTCTTCTTGGTGTTCAGCAGCAGGTTGATGCAAAATAATTCTGAGAAGCCTTTGGCCAGAAAAAAAATTTCATCACGGATGTTCTTATATGAAAAGCAACAGAAAGAAAACACAAAATAGGCAAATTAGTGGATGACTGGATCAAAATGACATTACGCACCACTTTTACAGTGTGGTATTTTACAGTACCACTTTTACCTATAAAAATACAATTTCCAAACAATCAGACAAATGAGAGGGGTAGGTGTGAGGAAAATGTTTGTTTCAATGAAGTAAAGAAATAGAGAGAGAGATTTAGAGAGAGAGAGAGAGAGAGAGAGAGAGAGAGAGAGAGAGAGAGAGAGAGAGAGAGAGAGAGAGAGAGAGAGAGAGAGAGAGAGAGAGAGTGGCTAGCCATAAAATGGGAGTGGAGAAGAGGGTCAAAAACCTTGTGTGTGAGGAGGGGGAGGGAAAAGAGGAAAAAAAGGAACAACAAAAAGACCAGTAGCAGAGAGTGAGTGCTTTCTAAGTGACATCAGACCTCAGTACTGTGTCTTGCTCACTGTCAAAGCACACTGACTGCCATTCGCCTGCTGATCCTCCAGTGCAGAGCACCGGAGCTCAAGCTCTCCGAATTTGGGGATGCACCTCTTTTATGTCTTCCAGTATCTCTCAGTCATGAACTGTCCATCATTCTGTTTGTGAGTTTTGCTGTACTTTGGATTCTACCTGGACTCCATGTGGGTAGTCAAGCACAAACTCGCTACTGAAAGGTAAGTTCTGTCCAGTGTTGGGTGTACTGCATGCATTACTAAGTAATTAATTACTACAATTTATTTACTTTTCCCTTGAGTAAGGATCTATTTATGCTTTTAATGTAACCTCCTCCCTTTAAATGCTTTGGTCAGTTCAAGAATAATTTATGCAATTTTATAATATTTATTTGAAAGAATTAAAAGAGCAGTTTCATGTCTATCCTTGTTCAACTGGTCGAGTTTGATATGGGATTTAGAAAGTAATTAGTAATAAATAATGCAATACTTTTTAGAGAGAGTAATCTAATTACACTGTTGAAGATTAATTGGTAATAACTAGTAATTAATTACTTTTTTAGAGAAACTTACCTAAAACGGGTTCTGTCTAGAGTTTGTGATTGAGTGGATATGGTGTAGGGCCGCCTAAAATAGGCATCACCAAACTGGGTTCACGTTATTCTGTGGCAAGTATCAATGGTGATTGTTATGGGTGTCAAGCTGGAACAGAAAGAAGAGATTTTTTTTTAATGTTCCTGAAAGTTTGCGGCTAAAGAATGCTGCGGCTTTGTGATAACTGTTTTTTTAAATGTAAATATCTTTATTTTAGTTGCTTGTTTGTATTGTCCAAATAGGAAAACTGTCATTTTATTTCACCTTTGCTGTATGTTATTAAGGATTTCTGTTAATACTGATGGTTTGATATTGGAAACCCTTTATTTTTATTTTTATTGTTCACACACTCAGTCACTATTTAAGAACATAGATGGTTGAAAGGAGGCTGTGAATTAGCCTACCATATAAACTGGAATGTTGACATAGCTGAAACATCATGTAGCAAACAAAAAACTTAACATGTTTGATTACTTATGCATACATTTCAAATAAATAAATATTATTAATAATAATTAACACCAATATATTTAAATAATATCTTTAAAATGTTTAAAAAGTCTTTCAGGTTTTGAGTCATCATCCACATTGGAGACCAGACAATAAGGGAGAAAAAAGTGTTTGCTCTTATAGTGCTTGTAATTGGTGAGGTGATTGGGAACAGAGGAACAGATGTGACTGATTAATATTCAGGAGATTGTGAGCGCTGGGTGATGATGGAGACTGACAAAACCATGACACCTTTTAAAGGTACGAGGTAGTTCTTATTAAGAGAGGAGACCCTGCTCATAAGGACACCAAAAAATTATGAAAAATGCACACAAAAAAAGAGAGGAGAGGAGCATTGACACAATTATCAAGAAAAATTTGACAATTAAGCTGTCTGGCTTCGAGTTAACAAATGACATGGCAGCAGAAGATGGTGTGAATTTTTCACAGAAATGGAATCTTGTGTTTATAGGGTTTAATCAAGGACCCTAGTCAGCGAGAAAGAAAATGTACACTGTTAATGATGAGACAAAAATGGTTGAAAGAGAAATCCAGCTGGGCTTTTATTTTAGAGGCTTTCGGTCAAATGAATCCAAACTAAAATAACTGGAGAACTGATCAGAAACAGATTAGGGGAAAAATAAGACAGACAATACACATTTTGAGGATTTTTTGAAACATTTGCTACCATGCCAGTCCTAATGGAAAAACCCAGATGGATGATAATTGATATCATCAATTATAATATATATACTAACCACAAAGGATTAATGAATTACAACCAAATAAAACTTGTAGTACAATTATCATGTGTCACACATAGAGTGATGGTATACAAGACACCAGCTAAAGGCTAAAAGACAAAAAGAACACCACAGCTAAATCATATGAAATACAATTGTTCATATTTACCAGTCTGTTTAATTAGTCTGTCTCACTGTCAAACAGAACCAAATAACTCACTAATTCTGGCAACTTGCCTGCTGCAATGAAAGCTCTAAATTCAGCCAAATGTTAATTGATTGACTCAGTATTAAGTGTTGATCCGATCTGTCAGATAATTAGAAGAGTAAGAGAAAGAGGAGGAAAGACAAAAATTATTTAATTTAAACTAATTGTCCCCCAAACTTTTCCAGGAAGTGAATTAGGCAACATGAATTAGAATATGAAACATCTCTGAGGAACTTTTAGCAAATTGTTGAAGTTTGTAAGTCAGACTTAAAGCTTAATTAGAAAAATGACATGATGCATGGGCATTCTTCTTTTGTGTTCCATGCAAGAAAAAAAGTCATACAAGTTCACAATCTAAAGCCAATGTGTCAGAGAACAGAGATGCATTTGAAGTTCTGTTTGGAACTGTATCTGACTCATACTTCAGCTCTCTTTCTTTCTTCCCCACAGATGGGCAATGTGTCAGAAACAGCCCTGTTCGTATCCACAATCTCCAGACAGCACGACGTCCTCATGGGATCACTTTATTCAGTGTTCTGTGAGTCCACAACCACCATTGTGTTTTGGCATCCTCTGCATCTTCATATGTAGTTTAATCAGAGTAGAACAGCAAATAATGCCTCAATGACTTTGCATATCTTTATTTCTTATGAATAGTTGAAATGGTTTAGCTGTGTCATTAACCTTCTTCTGTCGCTTACCTTGGCTGTGTCCACCTAGGCCAAATTGTCCTGAGGATGATCAAATATATTTTTAAATGCTTTCCTGAGATGGCCAAAGATAGGGTCTATAATTAGTTTGGGAAAATGATTGGGGTGGCTCACACTTGATTGTCTTTATTTATCATTAATTTATGAAGCAATGTGCAGAAGATGACTGGCTTCTTTGATTTAGATAGTTTGTGGATCGTTAAGTAGAGCTCACAGCGGGTGATCGGTCAGAATCACACAAGATTTCTTAATTGAAAGTATTTATTGAATTTAAAACTGCATGATTGAATATGTACATTGACGTGTGTGTGGTTCTGAAACAAATAGAAGGAATAAAACCAACACAATTAGTTGAATGCAAATGAATGCTTATGCAACAAACCTCTATTTGTATTAACTGTATCCTCTAATAATATAGCAAGAATAAAATACAATAATATTTTAACACAACCGAAACTGGCATTAACAGAATGAAAAAGGCTGTTCTGTGGATCTAAACACTACAACAGTAACAATGAGAAAGGATAAACCATTCGCAATACAATGGCTTCCTCTGCTGGTCACATAAATAACTAAACCAAGCCACTCCGAGAGGTGTCACGTGATGACCAGTGTATATGCGGGAGGCGCGCGCCCATAACCGATTAACTGGATTGAATGCAAATATCACCACGATAGCTTACAAACTATGCACAGACAGGGGCGGACTGGCCATCTGTGTGATCTGGAGAATCACAGAACGGCCGGTACTCCAGGACGGCCGGTGGGCCGGCCCACCACCCGCCACACACGCAGTCACAGACATCCCAAGTCTCCCGGAAGTTCCCCGCATATTTATAGCGGCTCACTGATGCCCGCAAATTAGTTAAAATCTCTCGGAATCTAGAGCGAATAAGAGTGCGCATGCGTAGCGCGCGCACGGCAGAAAGAGGGAGCGAGCTAGAGACCTTGCGTGTGTGTGCTAGTGTGCGCGTGTGCCTCACGAAGCGCATGTAAGGACCCAACCAATCAAGTGCGGGCGGGCTTTTATCTCTACTACTCTGACGAACCGAATTAATCAGAAATTACTTTGCAAGTTACTTGCTAGGGATGATGTTAGGAAGTGATATTCAGCTTGCTACATTTTTAATGATTACAGTAGTTAAAACAGCTAAACTTCAACATTTTAGCTGTAAAATGCCACATGCAGTAGCTAATATTAAGAAATATGTTGTGCTTTTACTTTTAAAAATGTTGGTAACGTTACAGTTAATGCTTACAAACTTTGAAGATTTTGAATACAGAAGTTACATTTGTAATGGTGTAGCCTATTTTCATTTAGATGTGGTATTATTATTTGTGCAGTAGCTAAGATTAATTACTGCATAAATTAATTAAGATTATTAAGTAATAAATTCATTTTAAGACAGCATGGAATAAATTGTATAATTTGCTGTTAGCTAGGTATAGTATTATGAGCCACAATTAAAGTCTTGTGACACTCATGCCAGGCAGCAGGCGTTATTGTTGTTGTTGTCGAGTTTCCGCGCGCCGATTGCTTTGGGCCGGGCCTAGTCAAAGTCCAGGGCCGTTTTTTAGTCCCAGTCCGTCCCTGTGCACAGAAAGTGCTTAACTGGTATTTCACAATGTGTAACCAAAGAATAATGCCCGATTGGAAACTTATACATCGATAGAAAGAAGCAAAACGACACGAGGCCTAGCCGAGCAGGAAAGCCTGAGCTTACATTTAGCAACACTAAACAGACGAAACACTACCAATCTAACCTTTGCAATGACAGTAAAAGAACAACAAAATACAGATTCTTACTTGTAAAGACGCACACAGAATAAAGCAGTTGTATCAAGGTGGGTATTGAGTCTGTGCGGTTAGCATACACTACTGGCAACGCCTCTGACAGAATACTACCCGCGCGCAGCGATGCTGAATCAACTTTTGATTGGCTAAGAGTCCAGGTGAAGTGAGGCGTCTTCCAGTAGGAGAGAGAAAGTCACAGTAAAGTATCTAACGCTTAGTGGCCACAGGGGGGCCTTTTTTTACAGCCACCCCCTGATTACTGAAGGGAATCTGCAGAAGAAGAAAAGGCGCCCACTCGTCCGGTAGTGGTTAGTCTGACAACTTTGAAAGCTGGATGAATCGAGCCACAGGGCGGGTGTACGACCGGTCTCCGACCTTCACTTCCGCAGATCGTACTTTACCGTCGAGGCCAGGGAAGACGCTGGTCACTGTACCCACTGGCCACAGGGAGCGAGGGAGCTGCGGGTCGATAATGAGAACCGTCTTGCCGATGTGCAGGTCTGGGTTTTCAGCATTCCACTTCTGTCGGGCCTGGAGGCTGGGCAGATAGAAACGGATAAAGTGCTTCCAGAAGTGGTCAGCCAACAGCTGGCTATGGCGCCAACGCCTACTGCTTAGAAGCTCGGAGTCAGAATACACCACCTGCGGGAGAGAAGTATCTGGCCGCCCAATGAGCAAGGAGTTGGGAGTTATTGGATCAGAGTTGGCGATGTCTGCAGATGTATAGCCTAATAGTTTGGATCCCCTCAATCTCAACTAGTAGGGTTCTCAGTACCTCATCTGTCACAAGCTGAGCTCCAAGTGTTACTTGCAGGGCTTGTTTTACTGAGCGTATCTCGTGCTCCCAGCAGCTGCCAAAGTGGGGGGCGTTAGGTGGATTAAACTTCCAGTCGATCTGCTGAGAGGCGAGTTGAGCTTTGATGTCTGCAGCAAGGTCGCCGAATGCTTCCCGGAGCTCTCGATCGCCACCTCTGAAGTTAGTCCCCTGGTTTGAGATTAGCTTGAACGGCTTTCCTCTGCGGGCGATGAACCGTCTCAGAGCCATGAGGAATGAGTCTGCATTCAAACTGGAGAGCAGATCGATATGCACAGCTCGGGTGGTCATGCATTTAAAGATTATTCCCCAGCGCTTTCCCCTCCTCCTTCCAATCGCTACCGAGTATGGCCCGAAGCAGTCTACTCCTGTTGAGTAAAATGCTGGCTTGAAAAGTCGGACTGTGGATGGAGGCAGGTCTGCCATTTTAGGGATTTGTGGCTTTTCCGCGCCATTTCTGACACTCTTGGCACTTGCGCTGAAAGCGGCGGACAGCCTCTCGCCCTCCTGGTAGTCAATACTTGCGGCGCATCTCTGAGAAGACCCTCTCTGGGCCTGGATGGTGCAGATGGTAATCATAATCTTGTATAAGCAGCTGCGTGACTGGGTGTTTGGCATCCAGCACCACCGGGTGAACAGTATTCAGTTCCAGCTGGTTACTGTGGCGCAGACGTCCGCCAACACAAATGAGCTTGTCCCTGTGGTCGAACTCTGGTGCCAGCTTGAAAAGTATGTTGCTCTTGGCGACTGGTTTTCCTGACTGCTGCTGGCCATAGTCAATAGGAAAACTGTCTTGTTGGACCTGTTGTAGCAGAGTCAGCTGGGCTTGCCTGTAGGCTGTGACGTTGCCTGGGGCCGCCCCATGTAGAGTCTTAGTTGTGGCGGTCAGGAGGTCCTTGAAAGAAGAGAACTGCTTCGCGTCAGGGAGATGACTTGGCGTGGTAGTAGTGAGGCCGAAGAACGGAGGTTTCTTGAGCTCTTCACCCTGATTTGCCTCTGTCTGAATCTGAGGACTTTGTGGCCATTTGTCTGGGTCACACCACAAGAAGGTTGGGCCTTGACCCCAGCGGCTGTCTGGTGTCAATGTGTTGAGAGGTTTACCACGTATTATGTCGTCGGCAGGGTTCTGTGCAGAGTCCACGTACCGCCATGTGTCGCCCTCGGTGAGATCTTGAATCTCTGCAACACGTGTGCCAACAAACACTTTGAATCAGCATGACTCCGACTGCAGCCACTGGAGCACGGTAGTAGAGTCCGACTAAAGCACCACCCGCTGGATGGGCAGTGCGAGTTCAGATTTGAGGATCCGAGCCATTTGTGCTCTGGTCAGACACCAAGTGAGGGATTGACAGCTGCTTTTTTGGAGCAACTCTGGATCTTGCAGTGACGAAAGCTACTTGGACGACTCCATGAGGATTCTCGGTTCGGAGATATGCCACAGAGCCATAAGCCCACTCTGAGGCACCACAGAACACGTGGATCTCACGTTCACAGGTAGGAGAGTCTAACTCACGGCTGGTGTAACACCTCGGAAGTGCTATGCTCTGTAGGTGAAGTAACTCGTCCTCCTACTCTCTCCATGTGGCTAGCAAGTGATCCGGCAGAGCAGGGTTGTCCCAGTCCCGCTTTTTGTCCCACAAGTGTTGGATGACCACTTTGACCCTGGTGGTGTAAGGTACTAGAAAGCCAAGAGGGTCATATTGGCTTGCCACCACTTTGTAGATGGAGCGCATAGTGTCAACTTCTTCAGTGGCTACAGCCTCTCAACACTTGAAGGATAGGGTGTCTTCTCGGCAGTCCCACTGCAGGCGCAGGGCTGATTCTTCTTGAACTGGGTAACCGTGGGCGATCCACTTTTCAGCACTAGCCGATCTCGCCTCAGCAGGGAGGTGCCGGATGGTGTCTGGATGGGTGCTGGCCCACTGGCGTAACTCAAAGCCTCCCTCGGCAAGGAGAGTCTGCAGCTAGTCGATGATAGGCTCTGCATCTTCAACTGTTGGCACACTCTGAAGACAGTTATCCACGTAGAAATGTCTTAACACAGAGTCTCTCACTGCATCAGCTGGCTGAGTATGGTCGGTGACGTGCTTCTGTAGGGCGTATGTAGCACAGCAGGGGCTACAGGTAGTGTCGAAGGGAAGCACCTTCCACTGGTAGACTGTGGGTTGTTCATCACACTTGAGCTCCCTCCAGATGAAGCGGAGGAGAGGCTCATCCTC